TGCCTAGTGTTTAACTATTCCTTCGAATATGAGGGGCTGAATCTTAATGACTCCTTGCTACCTGGTCCAGTTCTAAGCCCCTCTCTCCTTGGTCTCCTCCTGCGGTTCAGGGAGCATTGTGTAGCCATAAGTGGGGATATATGTGAGATGTTTTCATCAGGTCCTGCTACTGCCTGAATACTGACCACTTCTACGTTTCCTATAGCATGACCTGCGATGAGATGACCCTCCAGATAATTATGAATGGCAAGTCCTCCCCTTCGGGACTACGTGCAGCCCCTGCTGTGCCACCTTCACCCTCCAGCGGCACGTGGCTCTGCACAGTACTCCTAATGAGGATGTGAGATTCTCAGTGGATAAATGCTTGGACAACTGTCTACAAAATTTGCCCTCTGGACAAAAAGCATGTCAGTTAGTAATGTAATAGAAGTTGTTAGCCCCCCCCCCCAACCTCCACTGAGCAGGAGTTGTGGCTCTCTCAAGATAAAGCCAACCCATGAGAGTCAACCTTGGGTCTGAGCTGGCACTGCGAGTCTGACCAGCTAGGGTTCAAACATAGACCTGTCACATATATTGCCTTGATGATGAGGAGCATCTGCTGGGTGCTGGCAAGTCAGTATGTCCCTCTTGGGGTCATCCTTCCATATACGACCAGAGCCAAGGTGATTGTGCAACAGCTTTGAGTGAACCACCGGGACTGGGATGATCCACAACTCCCTAATGAGGTCCGGCATGCATAGATAGCCTGGGAAGAGGAGCTACCGCAAGTAATGCTCCCTAGATGCTATAACCCCTCTTGCATGGATCATTCAGACATATGCCGGGAGATCCACATCTTCAGTGATGCCTCTGAGAAGGCATATGGGGCTGTGGCCTACCTCCGTTCAGAAGGTCACCAGGGGAACTCCATCTTGCCTTTCTTTTAGCCCCATCCAGAGTGGCCCCACGAAAGCAACAGATACAGTCAATACCGAAATCTGAGCTCTGTGCCACTTTGTTGGGTGCACAGTTGGAAAATTTGCTTGCAAATGAGCTCATTCTGAATTTGGACAAGATCACCTACTGGACTGACTCCACTGTTGTGCTCCACTGGCTTCATTCCGAATCCTGCTGATACAAGGTTTTTTGTAGGCATCCGGGTAGCGGAAATTCAGGAGTTGACCAATCAGGCAGAATGAAGAACCCTGAAGACCCTGACTCATGGCAAGAACCTGCGAGATCTTATTGGCCCCAACAGATGGCTTCAGGGTCCAAAGTTTCTACTGCAACCTTGGGAGGAGTGGCCCTCTCACCCCACCTCACGCTTTCCTGACTCTGAAGATACCACTGAACTTAAAATAAAATTGCTTGTGTAATGGATTGATAATAATATAAATCATATAATAATTATATAAATCATATAAAATAACTCTTAAGTAATTATCATTAAAGCCAGACTACTATTATTATTACTACTGACAGCATGTAATTATGTAATTTAATTGTCATTTCATCATGATAATATTATGGATTATCACCTGTGCACAAAATTCAAAACCAGAAACAACAAACTAGTGAAATACTATCTTGAATCATTTAAAGCTGAATTGTTCAATCAGTTATTTGAAACATTGTGAATATGACGAAATCAGACAGATGCAGTATGTAATTTTCCCCGTAGGCTTTTATTTTCCCTCTTCTCGACTCCAGTCCAGCGGGTGGCGCTACAACACAGACGCTTGTTTGCCAAACACCATTAAACCTCAGAGGAAGAAGAGGTTCACCATGCTTTGTCTTGTTTTGTTGTGATGCTGGTTTAATACAAACTGTTAGAAATGTTGTTTCTGTAAATAGAGAAATACAGTTTTTGAATCAGGTCAGTAGATACCTGTAATATTCTCATTCTCATAGTCGTGACTAGGCAAGAGTCTTCTTGAAGCAAGCAGGAATATCTGGAGGAGTATCATCTGAACTGAAATCTGCTGCTGTGAAGATGCTGTTTGTTAAAGAGGAGAGTGAGGAGAACACGAGTGAACCAGAACCTTGGAGAATAAAACAGGAGGAACCAGA